TGCGGTGCAGGTAATAATATAAAATTATATTATTTAAATTATTTACGTTGATGTGTAAAAAATATTTGTGTTATATTTTCGTTCATATATAATTTATTTAATCAGGTTTGTTTAAGTTATTTTTTTTCAGATATAATATTGCCGCACTTTTAAACTCAAAGAATTGCGCGATTTTCAGCTATTGTTTATTATGATGGTGAAATTCGAGAAGATGAAAATGGCGTTGTTTTCGTATCAAATGAGCATGTTAAAATATCATTCAAGAGAAACATAACTCTTGAGGAGTTGATAACGAAGATTTCGATGAAGATTCATGTTGGAAGTAACAGAAGAATGTCGTCGTTGCAGTACAGATTTCCAACATCATTGTTGCCATTAACTTATACAGCGTTCGAACTTTCGAACAATGATGATGTTCAAATGATGGTTGAACCTCAAAGTAATTATTCAGACGCCGCTATTGAGATGTATGCATATTTTGTTCAAGTGCGTGCTGTTCGGGGTCAATCTTTAAGCTCACACTATGGGCTGGCTGAACAAGTTGATCAAGTTGACAAAAATTAAATTAAATAAATAATTACAAAAATTAATTCTTACTCTAATAATCATGCATTAAATAAATCAATTAATTATTACTAATAATTTAAATTAAATTAAAATGTTAAAATGTTATCGTATCAGTAAAGTATCGAGATATTTAATTCTTAATCTAATAATCATGTATTAAATAAATCAACTAATTATTACTAATAATTTAAATTAAATTAAAACGTTAAAATGTTACCATATCAGTAAAGTGTCGAGATATTTAATTCTTAATCTAATAATCATGCATTAAATAAATCAACTAAATATTACTAATAATTTAAATTAAATTAAAACGTTAAAATGTTACCGTATCAGCAAAGTGTAGAGATATATGATTTCCATCCGAGCGAAGTAGACTACCTTCCATTATATATTTGCAAATGAATTATATTAGTAAAATATTAAATAAAGTAAATACATAATAGTAAAAATATTATAAAATATACCTTAAAAAGATAGAGTATTTGAGAGAAATTTAAAGAATTTGAGAGAATTTAGTGTGATAAAAGTGATTGAGGATGGGGACGTGAAAGGTTGGGTATTTAGGGGTATAGCGTGTCCCCTGCACCGCGCTATACCCCACGTGTCAGATACCCAGGTATAGCGCGGATCGGGGGGCGCGCTATACTCACGTGGCGTCAGATCACCGTATATCGCGGGGTAGGGGGCGCTATACCCACGTGTCGTCAAATCAACATATAGCGCGATTCAAGGGACACGCTTTACTGTTACGAGTGTTAAATCGAGAAATATAATCCGATCGGTGTTAGATCAATAAATATACCGATCACCGGTAATTTATTGGAAAAATTACCGAGAATGTGACAAAGGCTGAAAATGGGTATTTTATTAAAGATACTCACCCATCTTTTAAAACCCTTTCGTAAACAAAAGAGCTCAACACATTTGGTTTCTTCATGGGGAAATCACCCCATAAGTCCTCCATTCTTTGAATGCAACTTTTAACCCCCTTTTAATATAATTAGGTCCAATTCTCATTAATTAAAAAAAGAGAGTCCAATTCTCATTAATTAAAAAAAGAGAGTCCAATTCTCATTAATTAAAAAAAGAGAGTCCAATTCTCATTAATTAAAAAAAGAGAGTCCAATTCTCATTAATTAAAAAAAATAGTTCAATTCTCATTAATTAAAAAAAAGTCCAATTCTCATCCAAGCGTTCCCCATCTTTAACTAAAAAACCCTTTTTTAGGGTAAACTACATATATAGTACCCAACTATCACTTTTGTTCCGTTTTAGTCACCCAACTATTTTTTTCAAAACCATACCTAATTTTAGTTTTGGGTTCATTTTGGTCACATACCATTAAAAAATTAAAAGTGATGTTGATGTATCATCATAAAATAATGTCACGTCACCGCTGAATTTTTTAAAATGACACATCAACAATTTTATTATTTTTTTAATGATAGATGACCAAAATAAAATTAAAACATAACTTTAAATAAGATTTTAAAAAAATAATTAGGTATTCAAGACGAAATAAAAATAACAATTGAAATACTACATGTAGTTTTTTTTTTAATGTTGTACTCTTTCATAGTTCACCAAAATGAAACCCATCCAATTCTTCGTTGTTGTTTAATAGAAGAAATCAGGAAAGTTCTACATTGCGGCACCTTTAATATACAACTAAAAAAATGCGTTACTGGTTTTGTTATTACAAAACCGGTAAAAAATTACCTAAAACATTATTATTTCTACTTAAAACATCAATTTTTTTAACATTTCCGGTAAAGTACCCAATAATAATAAAACTAGTAGAAAAAATAACAAAATCGGTAGAAATAATAATATTTTCGATAATTTTTTACCTAGCGCCTTTTTTAACCGTATATTAAAGTTGTCGCACGTGATCATTTCCCAAGATACCGTAAATTGGATGGATTAAACTCATCAACGCATATGGATGAAATACATGATTTTATATTATAGGTCCACTTTTAATATTTAAAGAAAATTTTAAAAAGATAAAAATAAATTATTAAGTACACATCAAGCGATCTTAATAGTAAATAAAGTTGTTATCTATTAAGGTTTTGAGTTCGAACACCACAAATACAAAAAATATGAACGTTTAATATCAAATAATTGAGATTTATCTTTTAAATAGATATTATCTTATATTTATAAATTTTCAACAATGATTCCCACCGTCGCTGCATATGATTCATCCATTGGAAACCCGAATCCTACAAGAGCTCGTGCTTTCCTCCAATATTAAATCAGTGCCGAATAATCTAAATTTTGATATATTTCATTTATTTTGATATGTCTGAATCCATTTCAATCCCTTCTAAAATGGCACATCTAAATATACTGATATATACCATAACAAAAATAAAACACCCATTAATATAACAATGACTACCTCACTCCTAATGCAATATAATTATGATTTTTTAATAGAGAAATGTTATTTTAAAATCACTTGAATCTATTAAGTAATTTTAGTAATAAATGAGAGTATTATATTTTTAAAAAAATTATAGATTCGAATAATTATATCTATAGAATGTATATACTATCAATAATTTAAAAATATTATAAATATATATTATTTTATAATCAATTCAGTTAAATAAAAAAAATTGAAATCACCCAAACGAATGAAAAAATTGTAATTTATAGGTAAATTGACATCGACTATTCAACTTTTAATTGACTTAAAATTGTATATATTTTAAAGTTAAGCTTCATTCACATCCATATTGAATGTAAATTCAGATTCTATTTTATATAAATTATCATTATCATTTAATTTTAAAGAAAAATAGTGTATTTATATTATATTATATATATATATATTATAGGGAATATTAAATAAAAAAAATATTGGAAAGAGGATATATTCTAGTACAACAAAAAAGTATATAAATATATAAAAATATAAATTTTTTATTATACTTTATTTATTCGTGTCGAATCTAACCTCAACGAAAAAGCTGGAAAAAAGAGGGAACCGCACTGCCGCACAGACAACTAAAGCAAACACATAGTGACAGCACATTGATCAAAACTTGGAAAGATCTCAAAAAGGGTCCTATTGGTAGGATCCTTCAACACTCTGCCTTTATTTTCACTGTACATGTTCGGATGGGATTGACAAATTTCATATTTATTTTACTATTTAAGTACAAAATGTATGATTGTTTCTTATTATAAGATTATCTTTACAAAATTTTAATTATTGATAAAAATGAATTGATCTCATCGATCATTAACCGTTCATTTTTTTAGGTTTGAACGGAAAATTATAGTTGGTGAAGAAATAATCGTTGTTCAGTATTTTTCTTAGAGAAAATTAATCACAAGAAAAAAGAGCGAGATTGTGTGTGAATTGTTGAAGATTCGTCCACATCTCAGTCTTGAATTAGGGGTATGTATAGCGACTCTTAATCAAACCAAAAGTGTTTGAATAATGTAATGTAAATTTTTTTTTTCATATAATGCAGTTGAACAATTATTTGCTTAAATAGGGTGATTGTTACAGTGACAACCATAGGTCTCTACGAGCACATGGCGACCTCCATAGGTTTCTAGGAGCACACGGCGACCTATGGAACTACAACAGCGAGAGAAGAGAAAAGAGTTGTTGCAACAGATGAGATTTTGTCGTAAGAAGCACTTGGCAACATATGGAGTACTTGACGACAAATAAGGTCACTGTAACAAACACCACAGTTCAAGAAATAATTTGGTAAAATCTTATATGAGAATTTTTTTTCTAACGCCCTACATGGACGAGAAAACTTTTAATCAAAGATGTCTGACATAAAATAATTATAATTATTTGTAAGTTAACGTGCTAGATAGATATAATGGTAAGATATTTAATTTATTTCTATTATATCATATAGACCTGTCACGTGACTTACATATGTACTGTAATTGATTCGAAGACCTATGTTCAAAAGATGTAAATTCCTTGAAGATTTCGAACAGTAAAATAATTTAACCGAAGATTTTAACTGACAAAGTATTAATAATTTCTGAAAATCATTATTCGGAAATACAATATGGCTGAATCAAAGCTTTATTCGAAAAATATTACTAAGTGATCCTTCAGGTTACTCAAGCCTTCACTTGAACTTATGAATATACATGCATATTTGTACCTATTACATTACATGCTGCAATAACATCAACATACTTGCACATGGAAATGCTGTAAGAAAAGGGAAACCTAGTCAAATAATGATAAAACGCCTTCTTTCTCTAAGAAATTTACACTGTTTCCGCTGGCACTTTTTCATGTGCCAATTCATTTGTAAGTATCCAAGTAATATATAATTAGTATATATATTAAACACTGTTTTAAGAATACTTTACTTACTGTAATAATAAAAAACAGGGTTATATATCACAGATACCGACAACCACTGCCCACTGTCATTCTTAATTCTTATCTCTTGTCCGTCTGGAAATCTCCAATCTCTTTGATTTTCTGGGTTCAAACCAACGGTATATATCTTTAAAATAACTTCTTTTTCCAATTCTTTCCCCTCCTTGCATCAACCATGGTTCTTTTAGTTTACCTAGTGGTGTTCTTTGCCTTCACTGGTCATTCAAGTAAGTTCCTTCTCTGAATTTCTCTCTTGTTTTTCAACTAAAGATAAGATTTTTGTCGTCGTTGATCGTTTATGGTTTGGTGTTGCAGGTGCTACCTACTGTTTGTGCAAAGATGGAGTGAGTGAGCAAATGCTTCAGAAAACTCTGGATTATGCTTGTGGAGCAGGAGCTGATTGTACTCCGATTAATCAGAACGGTCCTTGTTTTAATCCCAATACGGTGAAAGATCACTGTAATTATGCAGCCAATAGTTATTTCCAGAAGAAAGGTCAAGCTCAAGGGAGCTGTGATTTTTCAGGCACTGCTGCTGTTAGTTCAAATCCTCCTTCAAGTAAAGTCCCTCAGAAAAACCAACCATTTTTAGTGAATATATGTATTCTGGATTTTTTTTTCATGATTTTCTGTGTGTGTGTGTGTTTTTTTGCAGATGCGCCATCTTCTTGCAGTTTTTCTTCCAGGTATGGTTATTTTAACCCTTTGTTTGGTATCCCAGAAAAAAAAATGTTAATGGATATGTGTTTGTTGAATTTTGTAGTGGCTCAAGCTCAACACCGACCACCGGAACTCCAACAACGCCGACGACCGGTACTCCGACAACGCCGACGACCGGAATTCCAACAACGCCGACGACCGGTACTCCGACAACACCGACAACCGGGACTCCAACAACACCGAGCACGGGTATTCCTTCAACAACGCCGACCATGGGGACTCCAACAACACCGACAACCGGCACAACCACCGGGATCCCTTCAACAACTCCGACCACGGGGACAAACACAGGAACGACCACCGGGAATCCGATGTTCGGAGGTGGCACAACCTCTCTTGGTCCGTCGGGGACAACCACAGGCATCACCGATCCAAACCATGCTGTATCTCTCTTCACCACCAACATTGTCTTCACTTTTGCCATCAGCCTTTGGGTTCTTCATGTTGTTAACTAAGTAATTAAATTTCACGGATGCTATGTATGTAGGGTACCATTTAGTAGAGCCAAAAAAGCATGAGAGATTAAATTCATACATGGATGTAGTAGTAATGGTAGCAGTGGTGATCAGTTTAGCTTTTTCTTTTTCATGCCTTGTCCCCCTTGGCCATGTGCAAAAAGCTTCGGAATTTGATTCCCTTTTCGGTGCTCACTAATACATACTACTTTTCAGATTTGTAGGGGTTAAATTAATGAGAAATAATATATATTAATATTGATAAAAAATATTTAGTAATAATTAAAGAGTATGGTATTGCAATAAGAAAACGTACTCAAATTTTATCTAAAAACCATATAATGTGATCATAGATTATTTATTAATACTGTAAATAAATATTTCGAGAATACGATCCATATCTTGTTAATTTAAAATAAATATATTGAAATTATAATAACAATTAAATAAAATTTAATTAATAAAAAACATTTTTTATTGTACATGATTAATGAGCCGTAGCGTGTTTTTAATCTAATCTAAGATTTTCTATTTTAAATTGTAAAATTATTAATAAAGTACTTATGAAATATAATTATTATTCTTAAAATAAAAATAAATTTATGTACGGAATGTTTTAACTATATATAAAAATCTAGTAATTATATAAAATTATAGAATAATTAAAATGTTATTCACATATAATACTAATCAAATAAAATAACTACATTATTAATATTAAATAAAAATTATTGAAATTTAAAAAAACTCTAATCATTTATCGATATTTTTGTGTAGAATAAAAGTAAGAATTCGGAAACAGTGGTGGTCTGTGTCTATCTCTAATCAGTAATTTAAAAGGGAACGAGCTTCAGAACAGATGAGGTGAAAAGTCGAGACACGACACGTATTTCGATTATGTTTGTCACAGTCATTTGAATCAAATCCGTCCATCGACTGACCATGATACAGTACATCGTAAAACACGATGGATCAGGATTAGGATGGTAAGGAATCAAGATTGGATTTGGCTGTATATTTTGTGGATTTCATATTATAACGAGGGAAAACTAATTTAGATGGCATTGAATTTTTTCTGTTGAGTTGTTTATATGTTAAAAATTTAATTTTATTAATTATAATATTAAATTTTAGTTTTATATTTATGTCAATAACATGACGATAATAAGAGCAACTTTTGTAAGAGATCTCTGAATTATGAATTTTCTACCGTAAGACTCGATTTCACGATTACAAGATTAAAAGCCTTGCACTCTACCAACTGAGCTGGACGGACAATTTAACATGACGATAATATGACTGGTAATTATTGACGCAGTTTGTCACACCAAAATTTATTATTAAACTCAAAATATAATATTAAAAGTTTTTTTTATAAATATATGATAAATATAAGATACTATAGGTTAAAAAAATCAATTTTTTTTATAATAAATGCTAATATCCTTCAAGGGTGTATCTAGAGTTGGGCAAGAGGGACATCTGTCCAGAACCTAGAATTTTTATAATATATTATACTCGTAAAAAAAATGATTTTATATCGTTTACATGGTCCAATTGTTTTTAACACTTGTTATTAAGAGTTTAAATCCCCCCCCCCCCCCACACACCAAATTCTTATTATAGGCTCAATTTTTTTAATATTTATTATTAAAGACATACTCTTATAATTTATTTTTTCTAATATTTGTGTAAATGTCCAATTTTTGGTCAATGTTTTGTTTTTCTTACATTTGTTATTAAGAGTCTAATTTTTTCAACACTTGTTATACTCCTAGTTTTTCAATATTTATTATTAGTGGCTTAATTTTCAATTTTATTTTCTTTTTTAATATTTATTTGTTAGTTTGAATTTAATTTAATTTTTTAGTACTTTTTATTAGATATCAATTCTTTTCAATATTTGTTATTACGATTATATTCTTAAAATGTATCCTTTTTTTAAATATTTTTTTATTAATGATCTATTTTTTCAATATATGTTATTATGGAGCTACACTTAGATTTTTTTTCAACACTTGTTATTATGAACAATTACTTGAAGGACGATCTGTAACCACAACAATGATCGTAATATAGTGATAACGACATCATCAAAAATTCGTAATATCCATAACCGTTATGTCCACAATACTTATAGTAACCGCAATATCATCAATTATATCCGCGATAACAATAAATATAACATGATCGAAAACACAAATATAAACTATAATCTAAATTCTTGATTAGGATCCTAATTTTTTGGTCGTCCGAGAGTCACTAAAATCGCATAAACAAACCTGATATCTATACAAACACAATACTTAAACTTAAAATCTCAAAAAATAATATTATTCTTTTAACTATTAAATTTACTTAATTCATAAAAACTATTAATAATTAAATTATTAAAAAATATAAATCAAAATAACCATTCAAATAAATATAAAGGCGATTAACACTAACTTTGCCCTACAGTTGGCTTCTTTGCTTCTACGAGTAAGAAACGAATCAAACCATTCATCAGTTCTCCGAATTCGACGTGCTTAAAGCCTGACCATTGATCCCTGAACACACGTCTCAAGACTCCACGTGTGAAACATCAACGATCGCCATTAATCGTACGTATAACACCTTAACCCCCTATATATATATATATATATAAACGTAATTTTTCATTTCTCATAAAACAGTGATATATATAGTAAACCGCCATGGATAATCCTCAGCAACAAAGAACCGCTTACACACCGCCACGGCCTCCTCAGCTCAAAATGGAGATTATTTTCCGATCCTCATAATGGCATTTGCTTTCATGATTATCGCCTCCACATTAAGCGCCTTTTTTGTCTCCCTACTCTGTATGTGTACTCTTTATATCTCGGTAATGCCTTTAGATTGCTTCTTGATTCCCGTCCGTTTGTTCATATTTTAACTTCATAATCATTACTTCTTTTCCTTATCCCGCTTCGTTTTAATGATTTGTTTGAAATTTTTTGAGTGATGATTTGAATTCTTTTATGCATTTTCTAAAACATTTTGTTTATACATGCCCTTTTTCCGGTTGAGTCAACCAACTCTTATTTTACTTATGATAAAATAATCTCATTGATCAAAAATGTCTTATAATATACGATTTTAACTAATTTTTTTTGGATTTATCAAAATGACCAACTAAATCGCAATACGATCGATAATTCGTAACGCGACCTCCAGTATCGCAAATCAGTTTCCAGATTCGTAACGCGAACTTCGACTATCGCAATACGAACTTGGACTATCGCAATGTGAACTTGGACTATCGCAATGCGAATATGTAAATCGCAATGCGATAGTATAAAATAATCTCATTGACCAAAAATGCCTTATAATATACGATTTTAACTAATTTTTTTTTGGATTTGCCAAAATGACCAACTAAATCGCAATACGATCGATAATTCGCAACGCGATCTCCGGTATCGCAAATCAGTTTCCAGATTCGCAACGCGAACTTCGACTATCGCAATGCGAACTTGGACTATCGCAATGCGAATATGTAAATCGCAATGCGATAGTCGACTATCGCAATGCGAACTTAGACTATCGCAATGCGAACTTGGACTATCGCAATGCGATAGTCGACTGCAATAGTCGACTATTGCAATGCGAATATGTAAATCGCAATGCGATAGTCGACTATCGCAATGCGAACTTGGACAATCGCAATGCGAATATGTAAATCGCAATGCGATAGTCCAAGTTCGCATTGCGATAGTCGAAGTTCGCATTGCGATAGTCGAAGTTCGCGTTGCGATTTATTCCAAATTCGTTGCGATAGTCTAAAATCGCAACGACTGGTGGTATTGCATTTGTTTCTTAAGAATTTTCTCTAAAAAGATAGTATTCGCGCGGACGTGTCGAAAACACGTATTACCACGACCACGACTATTACCACGACCACGACCACGACCCGACCCGACCCGAGACGGACGGTGGCGGCGGTGACGCGCGAGAGTCCCCCTTGTTCTCTATCACTCAACAAGGAAGTGGGAAAGTCAAGCCTTAAATACCATTCCCAATAGTGTTTCCAATACTATGTGGGATTGAGCATTACCAACACTTGTTTCCAATACAATGTGATTATCCAGGAAACAATTAACAATCATGCACCTTAAAACAACTGAATCAGCAACCAATTGCATTAGTATTATACGATTAAATATGTCATAATTAAAAGTCAATCTACAATCAATCGTGATTATTGCAATTTTAAGCAAAACATTCAAAAATAATATCACTATTTAAGGCTCAATCCCACATAGTATTGGGAACAAGTGTTGGTAATGCTCAATCCCACATCGTATTGGAAACACTATTGAGAATGATATTTAAGGCTTGGCTTTCCCACTTCCTTGTTGAGTGATAGAGAACAAGGGGGACTCTCGCGCGCCGCCGCCGTTCGTCTCGTCTCGTCTCGTATCGTGGTCGTGGTCATACGTGTCTTCGACACGTCCGCGCGAATAGTATCTTTTTATAGAAAATTCTTAAGAAACAAATGCAATACCGTCGTTGCGATTTTGGACTACCGCAACGAACTTGGAATAAATCGCAACGCGAACTTGGACTATCGCAACGAATTTGGAATAAATCGCAACGCGAACTTCGACTATCGCAACGAGCTTCGAATAAATCGCAACGCGAACTTCGACTATCGCAACGAGCTTGGAATAAATCGCAACGCGAATTTCGACTATCGCAACGAACTTGGAATAAATCGTAACGCGAACTTCGACTATCGTAATGCGAATATGTAAATCGCAATGCGATAGTCGAAGTTCGCGTTGCGAATCTGAAAACTGATTTGCGATACCGGAGATCGCGTTGCGAATTATCGATCGCATTGCGATTTAGTTGGTCATTTTTTGGCAAATCCAAAAAAAGTTGATTAAAATCGTATATTATAAGACATTTTTGATCACTGAAATTATTTTCTCTTTACTTATTTCTGATCAGCACTCAAAATCCTGAAATCGAATCCGATTTAGCTTTAGCTCGATTGACATTTTTGAAAGGCCATCAGTTTGATTGTGTTTAAGTACGTTATTGACTTCTATATATGAACTTCGGATTATGGATAGTTCAAGTATTTTATAAAAAAAATTCTTAGAATTGAAAATCGTTTAATGTTAATTTATAGTATCCATGGTATCACTTAATTGTTTCCAAGGCCCTGCTTGATTTAGTCTACATCTT